TTAGACTAGTTTCTGTTCTTGTATTTAGTACAAACAATAAATTTCCCATTTTGTGATTAGAATTCTCATCACTGTACTGCAACCACTTTATATCTCAGTTATCCACATTTATTATTATTAATTCTACATAATTGTTATTAATTTTATATTGTATATTCTTCCATGGATAATAGTAAAAAAAAACAAAAAAAAAACATTTCTTCTGATATGTGTATGTTGAACCTCTTCAGGATTCCAAAATCAGTACTATTAAGATATATCCAGAGAATTCTAAACATAGTTATTCCAAAATTTGGTTGCTCAATTCCTTGAAATTTTATCTGTAAACAAAAGATTTTAGAAGCACTTGAAACATCAATATGTCAAGTTTCATTGGCATGAAATGTTTCAAGAAACATTCAATTGCCTGGACCCATCTATTCTTCAACAGATAATGCTAGTGAAATAAACAGTCAAAAAGAAATTCTCTGGATATTCTGGAAAACATTTTTTTACCTGCTAGTTCAAGTTTAAACTTAAAAATGAAGTTTTTAAAATAGAAAATTATTTTGTATTCAATACAATCAATTTATTTCTATGGAATTGAATAAAAAAAATATTTAAAAAAATTGCTTCCTTGCAGGGTTTTAAAATTGACTTGATATTGCCAGTTGTCAGTTCAAGTGCAGCTAATCTGACAGTGCTTGTATTATAAGTTTCTTTATACCAGTAATAATATTACAAAGCCATAAATGATTATACTTTATTTGTTTTTGTTTTAATAATTATGATTCTGTATCCAATCTATATGAAACATATTCACTGAATTTGTACATATTTCAGGAATTTGTTTCAGTATTAAATTTTTAGAAAAATTCAAAAGTTAAAGAAAAAAAAAACTGATGAAAATTTTTAGAAATTATAAAATATGTATCTGAATGCTTTGATATAGAATTAAGAGAAGAAATACAGTCATTTAGTAATTAAAGCCTACATGAAGCCATTTGCAAATAAAAATAACAGTAAATGATAAAATGTATCATTTTCTATGATGTAACCATGATTAATGGAAACAAATTTTTAGACAAAACAAAAATAAAATGAAATCTAACAAGTATATTTCAATAAGAAAGAGGATGAACAGCTGGGAGTGATAAAAATGTTATATAGATAAAATTTCATGACACTAGAAAGATGAGATACACACACACACACACACACACACACACTTCATTGAATGTGACGGACAACTTACAAGAGTTTTAAGTTTTTTAAATGTTCTTGGTTTTCTTTTTGGGACGACTAAGGGTGTTTTTGCACTCTCTTCGTACTTCCAAAAACTGTAAAAAATTATAAAAACTTAATAAAAAAAAAAAAAAATACCCATAAGATTTTCTTTGTCAGCCACAATCAATGAAACATGTGTAAAAGAAAGGTTGCTGCATATAAATATATATATATATATATATAATTGGATAACACTAGAAAGGTGAGACAATTTTATAAATTGGTTAGCTCATTTGATTACTTTTTGCAAACTTAATCTTTACTTTTATACAACAATTAAAACAATTTTTTTAAGTGCTTTGTAATAAGACTTGTGAAGGTTTTTACAAAATGTTATTCTTCACATATAAATATCAATTAAAGATCTTCATGGATAAAAACAACACTAAAATTAACAATATTTCTTGTCATCATCTTTGTAGTATGATAGTTTTTTATACTTCTCCTCTATAACAAGATTATCTGAAATTCTAATGTAGTACCATTTTTTTACAATCCTTTTTCCCTTTATATCTTTCATCGGAAAACTTTTAGAAAAATGTATATCAAGCCTTTGCCTTGCAGCTTTTTATTTTCTTTTTGAAATAGATTTGAATATAAAAACAAATTAGTGTTTTATTATTGATCCTGTCAAAGTTTTCATTTATTGCAATCAACAAAAGAATAAATTTTATTAATGTACAAATAAACGCATAAATGTGTAAGAAAAAACTTAGTAAATCTTTGGATGATACATGCAAATATAAAAAAAAATTTATGACTGATTTCTACAACCCAGAAATTTCTTTTAGAAATTTTTCATGTAATAATTTGTATCAACTTTCTTTTTTTTTTTTCTTTTTTTTTTTTTACTTGAAAAATGAAAGAAAGTAAACATTAATATTAAAAAAAAACTTCTGTCTTTTCTTTATGAAAAGACAAAATCGATTTTTCAAATACTGAATTCATTTGCCCTTAATCTTTGTACAATTTTTTCATCTAATGATATTGAAAAATCAAAATCATTTTTCTAATTTTCTGCATTTAAAGTTATACTAAAGTATAATCTTTTATCAGATTTTTAACCCCTTTGTTACTGTTGTTTTCATGAATTCTGTATAAATAATGTATAATTAGTTAATTGTATTGCTAATGCAATACCAGAAATAGAATGACTAATGGATATTCAAGACAATTTGCAAAGGGAGAGAATGCTGAAAGGTTTTTGTTTCATTATAAATAACGAGGGATAATTAAATGCTACTTTACTGTTAATTTTTATAATTAAAGATTTTAATGCTGATCATTACAAGTCAAAAACCCTCAGAAAATTAAAACTGAAATGAAAAGTCCTACATTGTATAAAAGCCAATATTTTTGCAGTGAGATTTTTTTTAATGTAGCATATTTAATACTTTTCTATTTGACTTAAAATGGATAATTTATTTTTCCAAATTATTTTTCAATTCAACAATAGTAACTGAAATTTAATCAAGCAGGATATGAGTTAGTGTTACTTGAAATAAAGACATCAGCTCTTATTGTTGAATTAGATTTTTGTTTTGTTTTTCTCCAACTAATTGCCTAAAGAGAATATTTTGTGTATGTGTCTTTGAACATCACATCTCCAGAATTAATCACAGACTTTGTGTATGATGTTATTGTGATGACAACTGAGTATAAGGATAAAGATTCCATCCAAATCAGCTTACATTGAAACATTTTATTTTTTAATAAATTTTTAATCTTGTTTTGTTTCTCTTTTCTTTTCTTTTTTAATGGAAAAATAGATTTTTTTTTTAAAGCTCTATGGATTTTTGTGAAGTGATTTCTTTTTTAAGATTTTCATTGTTGGAACTTAAAAAATTCTGCAAGTTATGCTTTTAAAAATATTTTTCTCAATTTGTTGCTGAGAAAAACAATAGGGGACTAATCACCAGTTTAAATCCTGATGATGGTAAGTGAAGCCCATTATCACCAAAATAAAGGGAAATTTAAACTGATGGTTTACTTGTAGCAATATTGATTTTTTCTTTTTCCGTTTGGAAAACTGGGAAAAATGTAAATGACTGACAAGATTATTTATCAATGTAATCAATTTTATAGTCTTCATTGTAATCATCATTTATTGAACAAGACATGAGAAACCAATTGTTTTGTATCTCAATATTTTTGTCATATATAATCTGAATGTGTAATCTTTGGAATCAATCCAGATTGTGTGTCTATCTTCCCTCTCTCTCCTTCCTTTTGATTTTTACAAATGTTGTTTCTTTCTTTTTTAAGTTATGTTTTTACATTTTTTATTGATCTTCAGAGTTCATGAAAACCTACATCAGTTCAAGCACATGATGTTAATGGAACATTTTCTTAATTTTTACATTTATTTATTTTTCCCCAAAGAAGTAAATAAGTTTTTCATGTGGCACAACCTCCATTGTCATAAACTGAACTCATGTATTGTCTCAAATAAAAGTTTCAACAATATTTTAACTTGTACTGAAAACTTTCATGTTTTTTTTGTTTTTTTTTTAAATTTCATACTAATTTGACAAAGCTTAATATTGTCATTTTTTAGATATGAGATGTAAAACAGCTTTATTTTATTTATTAACATTTTTCTAAAATATCTTTGTATAAATCCAATTGAACAACGTAAGATGAAATTTTTACATTTTCCTTGTCTCAAGTTGAGAGACATAGCTTGTTGCAAATATGCATCATTGTGTGATGGGTACAAACACAATGATCTCTTGATTAAATTTGTTGCAATTTGCAAATCAATAAAGGATTAAATTTACCATATATATATATATGTGTGTGCGTGTTAACATTTTTCAGAATTTTTCTATAAGTTTTATATTTTAGTGCTATAAAACTGAATTCATTATTCATTTCTTATTTATATGAGTTTACATTCATTTCCTATTTATATGGGTTTATATGTACATTTTCTTTTTATAAAAGTAAAGCTTAACAAGTTTGTAAGGAGCAGGTTTCCTTTAAAGATTTAAATGTTCTAAAATTATAGTTGAAAGTTACACTGGGTATTATTTATTAACTTGATAGCTTAATCTTCAGAATGTATTTCCTAAGGAAAAAAAAAGATTTTCCTATTTGGAATTTCATTTACTTGTAAAATTTGTGCTTTCTCAACAACTGGCTTATCATATTGAAACACTGGTGATCATACAAGAACCAAAGTTAAGCAAGTCAATCCTGGTCAGTACCTACATGGGTGACCACTTGGGAATACCAGGTGCTGTAAGCTTGGATGTGCAGGTGGTGCAATGGATTATGATTCAAAATTAGAAATCAGAAAACAGAGTTCCAATTCTAGTCAGATTCATTATATTCACTTACATGCAAGTACTCTTGGGAAAGGTATGAATCCACTTCTTCTCCCCTTTGCTATGGGTTAATTAGTAGAACATGAGTCAATAAATCATTATTATCTCAAAAGAATTTTTACAATCTAAAACAAACTCGTTCACACGTTTAATTTTTGAAAAATTGAATTTATTTATTTATATTTTTGATGGTTGTAACAATGTGCATATATTGAAAGAATCAAATTCTAAGAAAATACTTTTGTTTCTATTTTTAAATTATTTTTTTCATATATGGAGGAAGGAATTTTAAAATACTATTGTTTACAATCTTGCTTGGGTTTGCTGAATATATTATAAAAATGGTTTTAATAATTGATTTCAGTATTTAAAATGGGCTATTTTTGAATGAAGTCATTTTTCCTGTTAATATTTGAGTCTTGGTGGAATTTCATCATCATCATTATTATCATCAGTTGCTGCATAATTGAATGCAAATTTACATTTTTGTTTTTGTTCTTTCAGTATTTTCTGCCTTTTTATCCTTTTCTGATTTTCAACTACAAAAGAAAAGAAAATTATGATAATTGTTTGATTTTTCCTTAATTTTCATTTTACATTTGTTGCTTTTATGAGTCTATCTGAAACAACAATAATGAGACATTTTGATGACATTTTACATGAGCTGGAAAATGGTATGTAAAACAGTTTATATATTCATTTGGCATTTATATATTTTAATGTTCAATAAAAAGTGAAAAGGTAAAATTCATTGTGCAGAAGCTTCAAAAGTCAATAAATGTAAGTTTAGTCTTGAATGTGTGCTTCTTATAAGTAGCCTTGTGTCAAACAATTATAAAATATCTAAAAATAAGCTTATAATGAACTGTTACAATTTGACAGCGTAAAGAACAGATACTTTTTAAGTAATCACAAATATATATAGAACTTGTTCTAGGTAAATTTAAATTGATTCAAATGAGATTTTACTGCCACAAAGAATGCAAGAATCCCTCGATTAGTGAAGCTAATGTGTACATTAAAAGATATGCATTAATGGAATATAATAACTTATAGGAAATGATGTCATTTGTACCTCAAAATTTAGCCTCATTCACAATTAATTTCTAATTTGTATACTTTTTAATTGAAATATAGTTACATGTAAGCAGATACAATAAAAAGACTGAATTAATGTTTATTAATCTGATATTTTATGAAAATCTTATTTAGAGTTGTTTGTCGCATGGTATTCTTTTGTTCTTCATATAAAATTGCCTCTTCAAATTTTCCAAATATGCCATAATCATTAGTGTTTTAACCTGAAAAAATGTATACATCTTTTATATTTTGATATTCTTTAATAAATGTAAATTTCTGTATCAAATTAAATCGTTCATTTTTTTTTTTAACAAAAAATTAAAAATATCCTTTTAAGAACTTCAAATTATATATTATAAAATTTATCTATTTATAGCCATTCATTTCTTTTAAGACTATTGCAATTACTTAGATAATGTAATACTTGACAAACAAAATAGTTACCCATTTTTAAATTTTAGTAAATTTTTAATTAAACGGTAACTATAAAAAAAATTAATTTTCAATTACTATGTTCAAACTGAAGAATTTTTTACTGCACTAATTGAATATTGGTATATAAAAATTTTAGCATACTAACTGAAAACGCATTAATCAAGGCTTTCCTGTACCATCATTTTTTCCTATGATTAGAAGTGAATCTATAGAATTATTAGGTAAGTTTTCATAAATTTTTAATATTCATGTACAAATATTTTGAGGAAAAGAATTACAGATATGTTCTGAATTTAAAAAAAAATTAAAATTAAGAAAATCAATATATGGCTTTTATTTCATGTTGAGACATAAGTAACAACACCTGTGAAAATTTAAATGGCTTCAGTAAATATGTGCAAGAAACTATATGTTAACTGCAGCAAGCTGACAGTATATAGAATCTGGTGTCTAAGAGAATAAAGCTTGTTCAGGCACCCCCCTATTCAGGCTGGTTTTGATTTCAGAGTTGTCCTTTTCCAAGATTAGTTGCCCTACCGAGGCCAAAAAGTCAAATCTACCCTTTTTACAAGGATTTCAATTCAGTTTTCCTTCCCTGAGACCAGCTTAAAGAGAGCTTTGCAATTGAATCCCTTCCAGGAGAAAGGTAGATTCATGCCTGCTCCATGGTGATAAATGCACAATATTTGAAACGAGACTCAGTCTAAATTTTAAAGAATAGATTAAACATAAAACAACTTATATGGGACAATTCCTTTAGGTTATATTTTATTTAACCCAGTTTCTTTCCTCAAAAACAGGAAATGTTAAGTTAAATGGTTGCATTAACTTAAAAAACATCATTGACAATTACTTTTTGGAAAGACCTTTTGAAAACCAAAAAATTGCAGAGGAAGAAACCAATTAATTTACACATGAAACCAAAAAAGTATTTAATGGTGAATGTCATTTCAAAACAGGTTATTTACTTAGCTTACTCTTACACAATGTTGTAACAGAACAACATTGGAATGTCTATAATCAGGCATGGCTGATTATATGTTGTGAGGGAAAAAGAGCTTACCAATCCCTGTAAAATAAAGTCAGAATAATAGATTGAAAGAACCATATTTTGATAAATTGAATTGATCAGGAAAGAACAGAAATTAAGTTAAAGACTTTAAAATCTCATCACCTTATCGTCTTATGGAATATAAGCATTGCAGTTTACATAGTGATATGAGTTTAATTCTTGGGTTATGAGATGGAATCCAACAAAATATTCCTTTGCAGGAAAAGTAGAATGTGAATAGCCTACCTTCATGGAATGAAAAAAACAATTCAATTTGAAATTCTGAAAATGTTACTAAATACAACAGGCAACAGAAAGGCAGGTACAATAGCCAAAACAGTATAATCTTAAATTGTGTTTTTGTTTTCTTTTTATAATTTTGAGGTAGTGATGAAATCAAATTCCTGAGTCCCTCCAAGTTTAGGTATCAGAAATATGCACTCTTTAAATGGGGTCTTACAGCTGTTTTTTATTTTAAATAAAAAAAAAAAAAATTAACCTAAATAGAAACAAAAACAATATCAACTTTTGTTTATACATAAAATGATTTTTTCTGAATTTAAATCCCTACATATCTATAATCATTTAAGATTTTAGAGAATGATGGATCTTGGATTCTTATGATCATCAAAATATATGATGTTCGTAGTTAGAAGATTCCGTTTTTTGAGAGTGGGGGCAGAAAAAATAGACAAGGTTTATTCAAGTTGTGCCTGTAATTAAAATATAGTATATGTTCTTGTTATCTTGCTGAAATGTCCGATATAAACTTAAACTTAATTCAACAGTAATAAAGTTTTGTATGTGTGTGTCTAATGTTCACAATCTTACACCTCCATCATCAATTTATAGAAATTTATGGTGAAAAGCAGAAAATAGAAGGACAAACATTGCCCTTCATTTATAGCCTTATGTTGATTTTGATTTAATGTCTAACATCTTCATCTCAATGTTGGTCTATTAATACAAATGATTAAACTAAAACATCTATTTATTTCACCTTGGTTTGTAGTTAAAATGAATATTGTAATTTTATGATAATATATACAGATAAAGCTATTCTGTTAAAAGTGGATCACAGCAGGCTCATATTGGAGATCAAGCAGAGATTTGCCTATAATTTGGGAACCACTCATCTGTTCATGGTGATTCAGTGCTTGTTGGAAATGTATGAGAGTGGAATCCAGAAAAATCAATTTGATTAAGAAAAATCCAAAATTTTGGGTCTAGGGCCCAAAAATCCCAACTTAGGGATATCGGGCTGAAATCTTAAAAACACATTTGTAGGCATATCTTGATAAATAATAATGGTATGATGATGGTTGAGTACTCATTTCAAGCATGTGAGGGAGTGGAATACCAAACATTTTGGGGTCTGGGACCCAAAAACCCTCTAAGTTGGGGATATCGGGCTGAAATCCTAAAAATGCATTTTTAGTCATATCTTGATAAATAATAATAGTATAATGATGGTTGGGACATCATTGGAAGCATAGGAGGAAGTCAATGCAATGTAATCAAATTTGATTGAAATGTTCAAAAATATATCTAAGCCAAAACCTTAATTTGGGGATATTTGGCCAAAATCCTTAATAAAACCATGTAAGATATCAAATGATATCATATTTATACACTGAAATATTTAACTGAAATAGATATTTGGGAACACAAAATTTTTCAGTACATCACAAATATGACATTTAATGAAAGACAAGAACAACACCAATGCCTCGTATTCATTGTTACATCTTTGAAGTGCATCCTTCAACTCTTCACAACAACTTGTCGTATGACCTTTTGCTTTGCAATGGGAGCACTGTAAATGTTCATGTACTTTCAACACCATAGGGTCAATTTTGTCCCAGAGTCAGTTTATGCAATCTGATAGGATATCAAACTGGCTAGTTTTCCTTGCATAGTTGATGCGATACTGCCTCAGAAACTTGTTGTTTGCCACACTCTGTAAAATTCAGTATTCCATTGTTGTTATTTTCTTCAATAAGTTCAGGACTGTGTGAAAGTACAATGTGAGCACTGGGATTAATCTCTATCCATGGAACTGATTTGACCAAAAGGGATGTGGTACAACAAAATTCTTTGTACTCTGCAACCTTTACCTTCTTACAGGAATTAATAATGGTGAGAATAACTGCCATATTGAGAATAATTTGGTTAATTTTGGACTTCAGTTCAGTGTTATCAATTCCATGTGTCAACAAAGTCCTATTGCTGGTGCTAAACATGACTTTTGCAATGTTATCTGTTGTAGATGATGCCTCCATGGCCTATTGGATCAGGTTTCTCCAAAGTGATCGACGTTTCTTCTTTCACCTTTCTGCATTTTTGCCTGTTTCAAAAACTCCAAGGCTCTGGAAACATGCTTTGATGCATCAAATTTTGCTTCAGACCAAGAATAATGTACTGATAGCATATTTTAAAGATCCAACCAAAACATCTCAATAGATTATATAGAGGATGAAGGTTGTTAATATTTTTGGTGATAATAGGATCCTGAGTGGCACCTTATGAACATCGTAATCAAAAGTTTTATGATTTTCTGGATGATGAAGCTGTTTCGCAAATGGCAAGTGTCTGTTCTAAAGAGTGATCAGTTTTGAAACCAGACGAGATGCAGTCAGCATTGTTATATTGTTCCTTACTGTATGTACATAGATAGCAAAATGTACCTCCCAAACCAGTGACAAGACAGTGCAACTTACCATCAACATGTCTGGTTATGAGAACAAGTGTTTTTGCTTAGGTGCAGTCTGTGACACATGCATAATTTTTCTTTTCATGGCTGAGTTGAAATAAAATTTCATGACATCATAATTCCAGTGTTTGGGCAGTGAGCACAAAAATGTAGCCCCCCCCACACACACACACACCACCACTTTTCTTAAACCATTGCATTAGTAGGCCTGTATTAAGAGCATCATACACCAAAGGCAACTTTCTTGAGTGTTTTTGTCACTTCTTGTCTTTGCAAATTCACCACAGAAATACTGAACAACATCAATCTCTTCAGGAAACATTTAACTTCCTGTTTGCTCATGAAACAAGAATGGCCCTTCAGTTCATCATTCTAGTTTCTCAAATTCCTTTTGTGAACAGGAATACTTGAATGTATACTTCTTATTGTGAAATTAAGATTGAGGGGACTCCAGGAGCCAGTTTTGAGGGCTAAAATCTGGCAAAAATACCATGAAATGGAGGTTTCATGCCTTAGATGATCAGATATCAATTCATAAGCACTAAAAATGGATTCAGCACCTTCAAAAACATATAGATAGAGGTCTTGGTCATTACATTTGGAAAAAATTAAATGAATTATATATATATATTTGTATATCTGAGACCCTTATTTGACACCAGGAAATGGATAAAATTTTACAAGCAAAATTTTTCTATGGAATGTTCCCAATTTTTTTTCAGCCAGACATTTTCAGAAAGGTTACCAACTCTCAATTTTAAATTGTAAACCCTAAAAATCTTGGCGCTTTTTTGCAATCATTCTTTAAATGTAAACCTCCAGACCCAAATTTGAACCAAATTTTGGGCCAAAAATGTGTATTGTTCAGGCTAATTTCTGCAAAAATTGCTAAAACCTAGAAGAATCTAATCCATGCAGATATTTCAAGCTTGTGTGTCTGGAGACTTCAAAATGCCTTAAAATGGAGGCATTGGAGATATTCTAACAAATTACTGGTCAAATCTTTACTTAGGTCACAATTTTCAAAACATAAAATCCTTTCACGCATTTCAAATGGCCATATCTTTGGAAAGTATTTGGAGTTATGGTAATTTACCCATGCACACATGGACTCTCCCAGCTATAAATAGGAGCAGGTACTGCCTTTTGGAGAGGGAAGTTTCTAGCAGTCAGCTCTGATAGTCAACCAAATATTCTTGCTGTAACACTCTCATTTGTATATGTTTGTATTACTGTTTCTGTTAATATATTTAACTCAATTCCTCTCTTTGTGTCTTTATTTCTGGCCATGACAAGGCCACAACAAGTTAGAAGATAAATGAGACCATTATTGGACACTTCAGAGAATGAACTTTCCAAATTTTTAGGTCTCAAATCATTTTGAAAAAGTTGTAAAATTCGATATGTCTCTTTGGCAGCCTACTGCATGGATGTGGCAATAAAATTTTAAAAATGTTAAGCAGAGATGAAATAAGAAAAAAACCACCTTCTACATTAAAAAACTTAAATTTACATATTTTTCTATTGAATAGAAACAAAAATATTTTGTTTATCTGAAATGAGGAAAGAATGTATATAATTAATAGATAGAAAAATTAATGGAAACATCTTATTTAAAAGTTAAGATTTTTAATAATCTATCTACGATGTTAGTCTTTATTGTCATACAATTTTTTTCATGTTTGTTTGTTTTGACTGAATGCAATAAAAAAAAATAAATTTCATGCATTAGTGATAAAAAATTTAAAATTAGGTAAATCTAAGTTAAAATTAATTTCTACTTGATTAAAATTTATTTAAAATACTTTGGAAATTACTCATGATAACTGATTTATCAAATCATTATCTGGCTCCAAACTTTTTCCCAGAAAGCAAAGAATAATAACCAGTTGTGCAATGTGAGTCAGTGATTAATGAACAATGGTGTCAATATATTCAGAGCAACAGGCTGGTTAATTTAGATCACCTTCCAGGTTTTCACGTATGTACTTCACCCACAATATGGCTGGTTATTCAAAATCAGTTTGAACTGAATTTCTATAATAGAGGCAATGCCCATGTATAACAATACAAAGAATGAATGAAAAAATTACAAACTTTTCAGATTCTATTAACAGAATAAATGCCATCACCCTAAATCACCTTTTGCAATTTTGTCCTGACACAAATCATTTAGGACAGAACTTTGTTCCAAGTAGCCAATGAAAAAACTACAACCTGGATTCAATTTTATTCAAAAGCTTGACTCAACAGAGTCCAATGTGGAGCTTCTAATATTAAGAGTGGAAGCATTTTGACAGCAGTGTCTCTTTAGTTCCTGCTGAAGTTTCAAATATAAACCAATAGCTCTCAATATCAACTGGGTTCTCCTGGCATCTAAAAGAGGACTATCAAAACATAGAATTTATTATGTAAACTATAAACTACAATATATACAGATAAATATATTGGGATTTCAATATGATGAACTTCATAAAAGGACTCCAAGAAGGTTGTACAAAGCATTGCTGATTTCTCTTACTTATATTTCAGCACTATGACAAAATACTTAGGCCTTAAAGAGAACATTTTATTTCAAACAGACAGAATATGAAGTATTAGTGCTTTGGTAGAATCAGAGAAAGTATTTATGTCGTCATTCAATATTAAAGTTTGATCTGTCAAACAGTTTTTCACACACACACACATATATATACTTGCCCATGAAAGTGGATGTATATCCATTTTTATTTAGTAGATACATTCAAATGTTAATGAGCACTAATAAAATTTACATGATAGCATTTTTTTCTCGCACATTGGGAAAGTAAATGATATGTTCCAAAATCAAAAAGTGTTAAAAAAACAAAAAAATTTCATTAGAAACAAATTACTTAACTGTTGTGTAATATCAGACTTCCTACATGGCAGTGAATATTGGACAATCTCCTCACAGATGAAGCAAAGACTTGAGGCAAAAGAAATGTGGTTCTACAAAAGGATGCTGAGAATAACATGGACTGAACATATGAGTAATGATAAAGTTTTAGAGAAAATGGAAACAAAAAGGGCATTAATAATTAACATCAGAAAGAGATGAAGAAAGAGGGCTTAGAAAAGTTGACACCCACAGGACATATTGAAGACAAGAAGGATAGAGGAAAACAGTGCATAATCTACCTAATGAGCTTGTGTAAATGCATGTAAGAACAAGTTTCAGAGAGATAGCAAAAAGACAAACATTACTAAGAGCTACAAAGGACAGGAAATTGTGGAGAGTCATGATCACCATGTCCTGAAGGGAGATGACACATAGAAGAAAACTCTCTCTTGCCTCAAAAATGAGACATTGATATGAATGGAGGCAACTAGATATAAAGGTAGATATAGTTTTACATTACAGGTCTCATGTTACAAGGGTAGTGGACATATCAGATAACATTTATTTACTTACTTGATAACAGCAATATTTTGATTCCCCAGGCTATACTCCAGAACCAACCAACCAACAAGAAAGTCACTGTCATTAGTTGCATGAAACCAACCAATAAATTAATAAAGACCTTCATAGGGATGTCTTCTTTCTTCACTGTCTCCTGCATTTTACCACAACAAAAGTTTACAATACCACAGAGGATTGAACCTTTAAATAAACAAAAATAACTTTTAATTCATTTTTTTCTTATTTTATTGTAAAATTATAAAATATTTCATTTTCAATGATTCATGAATATCTTTGCTTTTATTTATTCAGTATAGTTTTGATTTGATTTTTGAAAAACAACATATTTTTTTATTTAATAGTTATACTGAAATTTTAATCATGTGATATACTGTATTGTTTAATTATAATGATAGCCTTATTGATCTGTGAAAAGCACGTAATAAAAGGAAATTTATGTGGATATTTATTATGCTTCCATAATAATAGTAATATGAGATAGATCAGTTCTGTTACTTTTTTAATCAACTTGAATGTAAAACACACTCATGGCACTCAGTTTTAATGCCAAATACATTGTCTTTCTTCTGAAACTATTATTATTACCCGCTTTCATATATCAAGACAACCAACACCACAAAATATGTTTTTTCAATAAATTCCTATTTATCTAATGGTAAATAAACTGGAATTTGATGTGTAGTTTATTACATAAATTATTATGCCCCAGTAATGAAATGACAAAAAATAAATTTATGTGTTTCTTATGTTTTGAATTACTAGTTTGATGAACTATGGCCATCTTGAAAAGTTTAAAATGTGGTTAAGTTTGAACTAAATTATATTTTTAGTTAATATTTACAATATTCAATACCAATTGAGCTTATAAAATTTCAGGAATTCTTCATCTGAGTTGATATTGTTAAAAAGATAAATGTTTAATTTCAAGTTAGATTTGTTCACAAAGTTATGTACAGTACAATGTACATTAAAAATATGAAGTTACAGAAAATAATTTCAGTTCACCTGCTTTGTGTCATAAATGAATGGAATCATCCGTTTATGTAAATAAGCGGAGTTGAGGAGAGTTAGCATTAGGTCCATTGCTAATTGTACCCTTGTGTAGTAAACCTTCTATTTCATTACTTATCTATGAGTCTGTTTTCCTTATTATTTCTCTCTGTTAACTCAAAAACAAGAGATACAATATTTTGAGAATAAGCACTTTCACTGCCAGCCTCTTTTTCATTTACTACAAAATAAAAATAAAAGAATTTGATAAATGAATAAAAGCTAAATTTATATCAATTGATGGTATGATTTTTTTTTTCATTCTTTTGTTTTGATACTTTGATATTTCACTAATAATAATTATTATGCATTGTATTAAAAAAAATGCTAAAATCTAAATTCTTAACTGCTGATCCTGTGGCGGACATGAGACAGAACCTGGGACGAGCACAACTGGTCACGACTTGCCTTGTCCCCGCCAAAAAAGAGCCTGTATTTGCTTAGCATGTGAAGCTACTGCAGTTGAAATGAGGGAGAAAAAAGCACTTACCACTCTGTCGTAATCCATCCTCGGCCAGATAACGTAAAAGAATGAGGGGGGGACTTGCATTGCATTTTTATGCAATAAAGATGCAATGCATTATGGGACATGGATGTGATGAATTATGGGATCACATGAAGATGCAAAGGATTATGGGTATATGGACAAATATAAAAGCAACTACTTTTTCCCAGTGCGGTGAGTTCTTCGAGTGACGTTCACAGTTGGCGGCGAGAACAGTCTGTTCATGCGGTTTTGAGGCAGAACTCAAGAAGGAACGACTCAAGGTTGAAATACCAGCTGGGAGAGCTTGAATTTAGTCGCTGGTTGCTGTTTTCTTTATTCGCCACAGATCCATATATGCTTGTAAAAGGGTCAGTTCATTCTACCACACCAGAAAGTACCTGACTTTTCTGATTATGCTTTATTTTTGTAAGTGCGAGAGCAGAACATTTTTAGTCTGGTCTAGCTCTTGCAAAAATACTGCTACTCTATCTTGACCGGAGTTGCCTAGTCCTCACTTTCCAGCCTTGATAGAGTTCAAAAGTGTCTACACAGCCATGTGGGTGATGAATTATTTTTTCACTCTTCAACCCCTTTCTCACAGATGAAACATCACAAGCCTCTCACTACTCTATTACTATTCCCATGGTAAATGTTCTTATGAACTACATTCCTTAGTTCCACTAGTTCTAACCTTCACAGTTAAGACCTGCCATGTCATATACATTGGAACAAATCACCCCAATTCCATTCGTATTCCATTGTAGGAAAGTAGGAAGTTCCATTCAGCTTTCCAAGAACCATTGCTTTGTAGAACAGACTGAAGAGGATGCTTTCCCGATCACTAGAATCTTAACCTCTTCAAGTCTCGAGATAACCATTTCCTCCTCTTATGTTCATACAACAATCTCATTTAGTAACCCTCTACCATGAATGGCTCTTGGGCCATGAACAATTAGTGAAAAAGAATCAAATCAGAAATAAGTGTTGCACATTAAAAATTGAAAAAAATTAAAGCAGACAAATTAAAAATTTGAAGCTAAATTTTTAGGTAATTCTGTTTCAGGTACAAGCATTAAAATAACTTTTAAAGAATAGAAATTAAAAAATAATTTTGAGTTTTTTTTTAACCTTTTCCAGTTTTATTGATTATTGGTTTATATTTTTTAATGTAATTTACTTTAATCTGAAATATTTTCAAAACAGCAACTAAGACATTTGTTAATGTTATTTGCTTATTTATATAAAATAAGACCAAAAATACAAAATAGGGTTTAAATATAAGACTTTAAATTAAATTTATTTGCAAATGAATGAGACTTTATCTTGCCATATAACTTTTTCTTTTCATTGATAAGTTTTGTTAATAAATTGATTGATACTAAAATGCAAAAGTTTTCAGTTGTAAACTTACAATCTGTTTTCTACTTACCAAATCCTGGTATCAAAATATTGAACATCAGACAAACAACTGCAATCTCAACAGGCAAGTAAGGAATACATGTTTGAAATAATGCTGTACTTTCAGATGTAGCAAGGTTTTGATACCCATTTTCTTCTTCAAGTTTTGTGTAAGCCAATTCTTTATCCAGAGAGAATGAACTTGAAGCTACTGACATAGAAGATTTTGGGCGAGAAGTTTCATCATTTCTATTTATTGAATTTTGTTCTTTATTTGCTGCGTTTTCTGGCATTATGATTAGTGTCACGGTACCATTTAAATTCTTCTTATGTGAAAAATGAAGAATTTCTTTTGAGCTATCAGTAAAATTATCTGTTGCTTTGCTATGTGTCATGAGATTTTCTTCATTTTTATCACACATTTGGGAATTTTTTTTTTCTTTTTGGTTTTCCTCTTTTGAAGTTGAAGATGATTTGCTTTTTTTCTGAGAAGTTTTAGATTTTTTGGTCACTTTTTCTTTATCCATTTTAATATTTTAATGATATGATCCTGTCTTGGTTATAGTGGTTATATTTCCAAATTATATTTTGATAAAATAAGAATTCCAATATAGAAAGTGGTCTTTTTTCCCCTCAAAGAAACAAAATAATCCAATTGATTTAATTTCCATTTCCATTTTGCTTTTAAGTTTGGACAAATTGGTAAATATTTCTTATTATACGATAGATTAAATCAATTTCAGATTTAAAAATTATTCTTTTAAAATGTCATGAGATGCTATCAAATGGGGAAAAATCTAAGAACATTTTGGTCGATTACAAAGAACTGTCCAAATTTCTGAAAAATAAAGGAAATTCATTTTTAATAGTCTGATTCTAAGAATTCATAAGCATTATTATTTTTTGAAAATAGATTACTTACTTGATTGTAGCATCTTCAATAATCTTGCAATCAGAAAAAGTAAAGATTTTTGCATCTCCCAATTTTAGCAGAAATTCATCATTTTCCCTTTTTTTAAAATCATTTCACCCCCAAGCAAGGCAATAAAGTCATTAAGACACAAGGGGGTTACTGAGTGTGAGAGAATATAAAAAAAAATTACTATTAAGAAGAGAGAACACTAAAAGAACAAGAATTAAGAAAACAATAGATAATGATTGACATTGCATTTAAATTTTTGAAGATCTAAGTTGATTGGATAGTAAGAAATTGAGGCTCAACTATCACCTGACCCACACACTTTTTTTTCATGTTTATTGAACAGAAATAGAGGTTTATCCCTTGTTTCCGGTTTAGGATATGGTTTACAAGTTCCTTTCTTCCATAGCCATAATGATTTAACTATCTTAACTTTTTGGTGGTCTGGTGATTTGGCTGTGACTTTTCATTATAACAGTATCAAGTTGACAGTTTTCTGGTTGCTGCAACCAACTGGTAGTAAGGAGCCCACACTCTTTTCTTAAATAGTGTTTAGAGAGGCTGCTCTGATCAACAGTCACATAATATCAGGGTATTTGTAGATGTACCTGTTTGTATTTCCAATGGGCAACCCTGAGGCCACTTTATAGTCTGGTTTCAGCTATGCTCTGGCTATTTTATATTGCCATTGACGACAGTGATAATTATGTTGACCATTTCTTTTTCTCACCAACACAAATCTCATGGCAAACACAATGAAAAGAAATATGAATAAACAAAAAAACACCATTAGGTGTTTTTTTGTTTAATCACATCACAACAGATGCCTACTCATTGCTGCTCATAGATGTAAACAAGTCCTTGAAGGAGCTAAGTCTCTATTTGCTGAGAGAATGAGGCACCATATTGCATCTAACAATATTAGTTCTCATGATTACTGGCAACTCTCTAATAGTGTATTAAATATGTATAAGGTCTCTATTCCTCCTCTCTTCAATCAATTTGATGTGTTAACATCCTCTGCTGATAAAACTGAATGTTTTGTCAGTAAATTCTCCTTAAACTCTACTCTTAACTCATCTGGAGTATCCCTGCCTAACTTCCCACTTAGAACTGAGTCTCTCTTGAGTGATCTGCCTATAACACCTTCCATGGTCTCAGCTATTATTTCTAACCTGGCTCCCCACAAAGTATGCAGACATTAAGAAGTGTGCTCCCAAACTGGTTCCTGAACTCTCTCAACTATATAGTTAATGCCTCCCTGCATTTTACTTTCCTTTCTATTGGAAGTCTTCATCTGTTGTTCCAGTTTTTAAGAAATTGGGTAAACCATCTGACCCTTTCAACTATCAGCCTATTAGACTTCTAATTCTTTTTGGGAAACTCCTAGAAACCCTAATCAAATGCTAAATTGGTTAAGCATCTTACATTGCAGGGCCTTTTTACAGACAAGCAATATGGCTTTCATTTCTCCAGGTCAACTGCTGATGTACTGACAATAATTGTGGAAAGAGTCAATCAAACTCTAGATAAGAAAGGTGAAGCCTGGGCTGTAGCTTTGGGCATCTCGAAAGCTTACAACAGGGTTTGGCATACTGGTCTTCTTCATAAGTTGAAAGTGAAAATGCTCTAACTGTTGGTCTCAATAAAAAAGGTTCACACTTCATGCTGATATTATCCTTTTATTTAGGAAATAAATTATGAAAACTAGAAAAAACAACAAATATATCTCTCAAAAGAGGAAATGGACAAAAAAAGTACATTTCAAAAATACACCAACAAAGAAAACACTTTTTAAACAGAATCAATAATAATTTTGAACAAATTCAAAGAAATGATAAAGAGACATATAGTGTCTCAATAATATTCGGACTTAGCAAAGAGCAGATATTTATCTTGTTACTTTGTTGACTAGTAGTAGCTAAAAGCATATATGGTACTTTCCTTACACCTATGGTGTCACATAGTAGCAGACTCACAGAAATTACAGCTAAACACATGTATGTATATATACAATAAATGTCAATTTTTATATTTTACAAAACATTAATAATTAACCTTGTAATTTTAACACTAACATGTTAATGTTGCTACCTTACTGTTACTAAGTCACAAAATCTCTAAGTCTGGTAGCATATACTGGATCCTTTGGCAATCATTACAGATGCAATAATATATGGTTCCTAGAACAATATTATATTGCATGTTGAAAATATCAGGAACAGAGTACATGAGAAATGAAGACGTTTTAAGGATAGGAACAACTAAGAAACTGTTAATCTGAAAAAAACAGCTGAAATTTTTCTATACATAATGAGGAAAGAAGGTTTGGAGAATTTAACAATCACATCAAAAACAAAAGAAGCATAGATAAACAGCAAATAATCTACTTGATATATGAGCAAATGAAAAAAATTACTACAAAGACAAAAAATGAAAAAATTGCAAAGAGAAGTCACAAAAAGGAAAAGTATTGGTGAGAGTAACAAAAAATAGGAAGTTGTGAAGAACCATAATTGCCCATTTCCTGAAAGGATATAGTATATATATAGAGAGAGTTCTTTTGCTGCCAATATTATTTTTATTATGTAATCCTGTTGACTCAATGTTTACAAATTAGTCTTTTTTTTGTGTAATTCTTAAATATAGATTATTCTATATATGTTTTTCTGAAAGTTTTTCCATAGAAACAGAACTTGTCAGATTTTTTTTAGATTAATATTTTAATTGTAATTAATGTACTGTACCTGGAATTGAACTACCAACATTTGAATTTAAAACTTCCTCCTTATGTAAGTTGTGTCAGTTATGTGCATTGAAAATAAATAGATTACCCTCTTCAACTTAAGAAAGCTGAAAAAGAATTCTATTTTAAATATTAGAATTTAAAGCCCCAATAAATATTGCAAAGAGTAATAACAGTTACTGGATGTGAGAAAACTATTTTCTTGAAAAAATGTTTTAATAGAGTGATTTTATAAATTTCAACTAAAAGTCGCACTAGTTGCTCAGTCAATGAAGGCCAAATGTTTTGTTATAAGGAAATGGTTTGTATTACTGTTATACTCCGCTTCAAATTAGATCTCTTTCCGATTCATTCTATATGTCAACCAGATGTGAACACTAAGAAAGCAAAACCCAAAATAAAAAAGCCATTCCCTGTACAGGAGCTTCAAGCATTAAATCCGGCCCACAAAGCAAATACCCTCAAAAAATATAAAATAACAACATAAAATAAACCAATCATGAATATTGCTGCCAGAGAAAAAATATGAACAAAAGATGAGTCCATGAGCCACTACAACTTGCTTTTAAGAAGGCCACTCATAAACGACTGAATCAGCTTTGTGGTGAACAGCAAGCCTCACTAATCCACTTCAGGCCTCTCTTGATGTCACCACTATGACCTAGGTCAACTGACTTGACAAACTTATCAAATCCAGGCTTTACCATCTCTACCCTTTCTTTAAAGCCATATTCCTTGTCTACAGTAGCGACATTCCACTAGCATCCACTGTATCAGCAATACAAAAGTATTTTATATTTATAATTCTTGTCTTTTCATTTCCTCTCACCAGTTGTACTGTAGTTTCGTTTGTTTTTCCAAGCATGTGTTTATACCATTACCATTTTATTGCCTAAGTTTCCTTTGCCAACTTTTTCACAATCAAAAAAAATTACTGTTTTTTGAAGGGTCACTTTCAAAATGAAAGTATAGAATATATAAAGTCAATAATGTAAGAAAATGTAATTAATGGTGAGTAATTGAGTGACAAAATGGAAAAAATTCCTATGTTACATTTTCCATGATAAATTTACATCTAGAATCATAAAGCATATCACCTGTAATATTAGTGTTATTAAAATGTGAGATATATAAAAAAAGAAGCAGTAGAAAGTCGAATGAAGTCAAGTTAGGTTAAAGCAGAAATTGAAAGTTAAGCATCTCTGCATCTTCAACATTTCTCTTGATGTATAACTGACATTTGTTGTATTTTATTCCCTCCACTTAGATATATATATGATTCTATCAATAAAAAAATACATTATTTGATATGAAGAAGTCTTTTCAAGAGATGAAATGTATAGCATAAGATTTTTCTAGTCTGTCATTCAGCTACCTACCATATAGTCAAAAATTAGTATTTGATTATCAAGTATTAATTATAAAAGTAACTGTTGTAAAGAATTATAAACATACTGATAGCAAATAGCTCACAAGGTTGTCCTTTCTTTACATGTAACAAGGCTGTTATTAAGTATTATAGGCTATTCTTTTATGGTCTTCAATTTAGAGAT